AACGACATTTCGACGTTTTCATTGTTGGAAAATATCGATTGTCGATCCTGGGAGCCAATCCTCCTTGGAGCGCTCGATACATTCCTTTGTTAATTTTTGTACTTTGCGTTCACGGTTACGTTGTGAAAAACATCGTTAGCTTAACCTCTCCAATGTTTAAGTATGGGGCCTAATCCTATACTAGTATACAGGGTGTTTCATATGTATGCACCCCCTCTAAACATACATGTAGCATTGCCACCGTATCATATTATATATCAATTTGTGCCTATGGAAAGTTACATAGGATTCCAAAGTTTCAGAATTCAGAGGTGTCACTGACAAAAGTTATAATCTATCAAAGATTGTGGGTACTGGTCATTTAGACGGCAATTTCTGGTGATTTTGAGGACAATTTAAAGGACAAATTTAGATTCCGTTTTGCACATTTCTTGCTATTGTCACCATGGCAGAGCTCAGTCCACATGTCTGTGGCAGTTATGCACAAAGATATATAGACAAGATTCATGCAGTGGCTTATAGGGAGGTCAGGAACCATGGGACCACCTTTATCACTAAAATTGGGTAGCAGACACAGTGAACAGATCACTGGACTGGCATAAAAATCCTTACAAAACTGCTTATAAATGACCCCCTACCCTGCCCACATATTTTGTTGGATTGTATCTTTTTCCAGGGACACCTCTTTATTCTGAAACTTTCCAGTCCCATGTAACTTTTCATAAGGAACAAAATGATATATAACATGATAGGGTGGCAAAGCTACATGTATGAGTTAAATGTATTAGGTGCATACATATGAAACACCATTTATATGGTAAACAAATCATTTATGTCTGCTGAGAGTCCTAGTCCTTTGAATGTGTCTGTATGATTCTCCCCCTTTGCCATTGTTTTGAAAGGTGTTACTTTGCCCCTCCGAACCAAGGCACTTACAGTGTTACACCCAGTGAAAGCGTGAAGTACTGGGAGGGCTTCACATATTTTGGTATGAAAGGATGAGAAGAGGCTTGGCAGCAACTCAACCAAAGGGAGAAATATAAGAGTCCCAAAAGATTGGAATGAGTTCTTGAAGAGTGATGCAAACAAGAAGCAACTATGCCAGTTAATGTTAAATGATTGGAAAAGACCACAATATGCTAAGAAAATGCAAGGCCAAGAAATGTACTGACTATGAGACACAAAATTATGTTGATGAGATTTATACCTAAGGCTGACTAGCATTGCCCCCCCCCACCCATTCTATCCCCCCACTTCAAGACTTATATGTGTTTTCCAGAAATGCTAGATATGAATTATGGTAATATAACAGAAATACAGTATAATTGTATCTTATAAGTTATACTCCGTATTTAGAATTTAGAAAAGAAAGACATCATTTCTCATGATGAGGCATGACAAGGAAATTGATTTAATTTCCAGGTGCTGGAAATGTCAGGGAATGTTAAAATTGGGTCAAAAAGAGACAAAAATGTCCGGGAATTTTGTAACAGTAGATATGTCAGGGTATTTTGTATCAATGTTGAAAATATAATGTTCCAGCAAAATACATTTTAGGCTATGACAGGATATCAATGAAATTCAAATTCTAACATTCAGTTGTTTCCACTAATTGGAAATATTTTCATTAGGGTTGATTAGATGACAATCTATCTGGTATTGTCTATTTGTAAGAACATTGTGAACATTACACTGAAACCGAACAATAAAGAATATACATATACAGTATAGATGGTTCAATACAATTATGCTTTTCCTTGTAGTAAGTTAGTCTTAGGCCATTAAAAGTTAATTATTGGTATATGTTTCATGTTTTGTTGAGGGTTTAATCTGAGGAGGGTGGGTGGTGAAAAACAATAACGATTCTGTGTGAAACTGTATTTATATGAGAAGCTGTCTTACGTCAGTCTATTCACCTGCCCATCTGTCAAGGCATTAGAGAGATTTCGCACCTAGTGAAAGTACAACTTATAACGTATGCTTATACTTATAGGTAAACGTACAAGGTGTTTCATAATGTGGGCTTTTCGTCAGGAAAGATCTTCTCGGACTGTAATAAATACAGGCCAAAGGGATGCCATTTGTACTTTCTTGAATTGTATCGTGTTTAGTTGATCCAAATGTGTTTGTCTAGAACAAAATAGGCTCATAAATAATACATATGTTATAGACCCATCTCTTCTCAAATTGACTTTTTGGAGATGCTCATTATGAAACACCCTGTATGTTATTTGTTGAGCTACTGAATGGGTCATTTCCAGGAATTGTTAGAACCTACTGGTTTGATTGATGTTTCAAATTGATGGTTAAAGTATTTGATTGGATACTGTTCCCACTCAGCCAATTAATTTTAAAAAATGCTTGCGGTCAATTGTTCCACACTCATGTAGGCAAATCTTTATACGGAGATCCAACTGTATACGATTTCATCTACGTAAATATACCGTTTTGTAAGTTCATTGAACTTATACTGATCATGAAAACATTGAAATAATCAACTTGTTTATGTAATGACTCACTTTAAAGAATCATGACTCACTTTAAAGGATCGTGTCTATAATACACTACAACTAAAAGGACACGGAAGCAAGCATTTAATTATAATGTGCATAATCTACACGTGCAGATGACAGTGCATTCACAGTCTCTAGTTGATGGAGCTTTTCTATAACGGGAAAAGTTATGTTCCATTAGGTACAATTTAAAATTGATTTTAGTAAATATAATAGTTCGACATGACCCTTTAAACTATACGTATACGTATAAGTTGTACTTTCACTTATGTGCGAAATCTCTCTAATAACTCAAATATCAGACTTTATATACTGATGCTTTGGTTATATGGGGCCTCTGCTCAAAAAGACACTCACCATTTTTGGTTCAGCTTTATTTTGCAGATGGGCACATGACTCTGTTCAAGAAAAAAGCTTGTTGCTACAAAAAGTTGATGTTTTCAGATGAGGTAATATTCCTGATAACACAAATACCGATTATTTTATTTGACAATAGTAATGCCAGGTTATTGTTATCATATAATGTTAACAATGATCATGCAGTAGTTGACAAATTATAGTTTGAAATGCTTAGAATGCACCATTTACAATGCAATTTTTAAAATATTTTGGGAGGTAAACCCCAGTATTCCCTTTTGGGTTTCGCTTCACTCATAGTGATGCAAACCCAAAGAATTTCACCCCCTTGACATTAACTGGGTACTGGGTAAAATGTTTATTATAAGTCTTGTACAGTTGTTTGAGACTTTTTAGTAGGCTGCGCAAGAACTTCCTTTTTTGCCTGGAAATGTCAGGGAATTTCATTTTAAAAAAGGTCTATGAACCCTGTTATTATGAAGGCAAACCCCACTTTTAAACACTTATGTTTGTTGTATTGTATGGTCTTATACACTTTCCAATAATGTAAATTGCAAAATCCTATATATTGAGATAAATCAGAACAAGATCCAAAAGATGTACTACATGAAATTAAACTTTGTATATGAGTTTTATATAAGGCTGGGTACCTCTACCCCCCCCCCCCAATGTACCCACCATCCCTAGCATGATGTAATACCTACAACACTTATATGTATCTACCAGAATTGCTTGATATAGTTTATGGTAATAGAAGTACATTATAATTGTATCTCAAGTCAACTTAAAATCTGTATTTAAAGGGAATGGTAATCATCTACTATTATAAGGGCGACGCCCACTTTTGATCACCTATGTAATTGTATGGTCTTTGACACTTACCAATCATGTGTATAACAATATGCATTATATTTAAACAAATGTCTGAACTGTCCTGGTAACTTTTAGAGTACTAACATGTTCTGATATCTGTTGATTTGAAAAATAATGCACATTCTTTATGATGTACAGGTACAGGTTTTACCAAAATTATGGACTTTTTCAACAAAGATCATGGTTTCCATGACAACCATTAATGACAGATCATTGAACCTTTGCATACTAATTAAGAATGATATTAACAACTTCCAGTATAGTTATTGTGATGATTAAAGATCAACTGAAAAAGTTATTCAAGGATAATAAAGTACCCCCTGTTATTTTCTATATTAGGGTCAAAAACCCCACTTTGGCAACTTTCGCCCCGGATACGGCGCGTCAGACAACAAATTTCTGAAGTATCACATAAAAATACATAAGAAACAAGTAATTTCAATTTGTTCACTGGTAAAAACATTTTTGTGTCCTAGCTTACTACCTATTACTTTTTGTCTGCAAAACCTTTTAAGACCATGGACTTCTCATATGATTTATTTAAAAGGCCCGTGTTTAGACTTATATCAAGACTTTTCAACTTCATTTTGATTCAAGTCATTATATTTTCAAAAATAAAACGAAAAATAGGAAATAAAGACAATATTTCAGAAGATGAGACACCTAAAAAATTCAAAATTATTCTTCGAGTCTATGAATTGTATTGTATTGTATTGTATTGTATTGTATTGTATTGTATTCTATTGTTTTGCATTGTATTGTATTATTGTATTGTATTGTATTGCATTGCATTGCATTGTATTATAGCTATGATAATATGCATTTCATAAATCGATCAGTCACATTTACTGTAATACATGTAGATGAAGAACGCAAAAAATTATGTTTGGAATCGATTGATGGTAGGTGTCTTTATATCTATACTATCAATCATCTTTGGCAAATGACGGGGGGGGGGGGCTGTATACAATGTTCCCGCCGAAGAATGCATCCCAAGAAAATTCCGAATAATAAATGGACATGACACGGAATGATATGAGCCAAAAATATTCTAAAATTGAAACAATTTTTGTTCAGCTTGCTCGCTAGATCTGATTCTCTATTTAATAGACGTATTTTGAATTTGATCTTGTTGGTGTTGAACCAGATTTTTTGTAGAAAGTTACAGACAGAACTTACAGAACAAGTCCAAATGATAATGGCCGTGAAGATTCTCCATCATATAATTAATTACAAATCTCAAAATGCATGTTCCAGGATTATGTGGAAAGGCGTGAGGAAGAGGCGTTGAAAGTCATAGACAAGCTACAGAGGGAAATATTATTGCTTCGGAAACAAAATACAAAACTTCTAGACGATAGTAAGGGCTCGTGTAAAGGTATAATATTCTTTAAGCGATTTTAATTTTCTAAGAAAAAATGTCGGAGGTTAAAATGAAGCCGAGCATAAATAAAGGGCAACAACTGAAAACAATGAATGTGTAAAAGATTTTTATATTTCAGGTAAATACAACAAGGTTGTAACAAACGAACTTATCAAGATAAAGTATAAGTCAGATAAAGAACTTGCTGTGAACATCGGTTTGAGGAACAAAATCAATGAATTGAGACTTTTGGTTATCAAACAGCAGAGACATCTTTCTGACTTAGAGTTGACAAATCTACAACTCAAATCATCATTAACAGAGAATCTTCGTAGCAGGGACGCTAATGGAGTATCTCCAACCGGGGAGTTTGAAATGAGTATGTTTACGAGTTTCACCGTTTATAAATAATCGTCGAACCGCCCCCCCCCCTTTCCCTGATTTTTTTAGATTTCGAACCTAGCCTAGAATTGAAAGCTCTAGAGTTAAATAAAGTCAACGTGTAATAATGACAGAAATGATTCTATGTCAGTATATAGGTTACATCAAGCAGATTTCTCATATTATATTTAATTACCATTTATAGTTTCTCAGGAACCCGTAAATACTTTGAAGAATAAGTGCAAAATGTTATATTTAAGTCAAAGTCAAGTTAAATTTTCTTGGAAATATTGTGCTGAGATATGTTCAGAATGAACCAGAGAGGGTCTAATTTTGAAAATTTTCTGGGAGCACGCCCTCCGATACCCTAGATTGCGCTCCGCGTGCGGTGAGCTTCACGCATGACCCATCCATACCCAAAAGTCGCCCCTCCCTTGGCAAATCCTTCTGACGCCCCTGTGTAATCATGCGAAACCAAGAGATGAGAACTAAGCTTCCCCTTTTCATATCTTCAAACTATTTCCATGCCAGATGAACGGTACAAGAACGGGCCCCCGATATATTATAGACTTCAAGATGTCCCTAGTCCTATATGATATCATGATATCATCATGGCCATTGGGAAAGGCTAATATATTACAATTACGATACAAATTCTATGAAACGGGTAGATTTCATGGACACCAAAATTGATCCTGATGTTGATAGGACTCATTATTCTTGGTTTATTTTTTCTAGATACATTGAGCAACATGTCTGATATAATATTCTGTGACAAGTCAAAATATATCCCGCAGTATCCAGACGACCCGGCCCTTGCATCATGTGCGGTCTTCAATATTGGAGGTATGTACTAGCAAGTAGAACAGTGCAAATATATGGATAAAACTCAATGGAGCATTTGACTTAAAATCTATGCATAAGGTCCTTGATATGCAAGGCCAACCTGACCCAAACTAAACTCTTAATTTTCAAAAATAACATGGATCACACTCATTTGCATATTTGTCTATTATACTCAAACAAACAAAAAAACTGCCAAATATAAAAATGCTCTGGTATCTGAGAATTTTCATTGATATAAATAACTCTGAAATGACTACAACTTCAATCATCACCTTTTTTCCATCCACTTGTATAATTTTAAAGCAAGTGTTTTTATTGTAAGATTGATCTTGTATTCGCGAATTCAACTGTTGGCTGTAGGTTGATAGAGTAAACATACTATTTTATGACAAACCCATTTAAATATGAATAGTACCTGCCACTATTCCATTCATATTTAGAGTTTGCCATAAAAAAAGTACACTAATCCGGTAGCCGACAGCCGAAAGTTGCATTCAATACTAGGTTCCAATACTAGGTTATTATCTTTTCAGGTAATAGCAACAAAGCTGACACGTTCACTCTGCCCACCAGACAGTTCAACCCTCTGGACATTCCTTACATTAGAAAACAACTCAGCTCAGATTTTCAGTTGGATTCAAGTTGGCAGTTTGAATCGTATTCTGATTCTAACTTGGAGTAAATCATAAAATATTTTTATATTCCTTTCACCTAGTGGTTGTATAAGATCTCATACACGAAGAACAGAAGATAATGAATATGTTCTATATTTTGGCTTGTGTATTCATAATTTCTACATTTGTACAAATTCCTTACATCACAAAATGTGACCATAACGTATATTTTCTAGGTGTTGTTTCAAAATTTCCCCACTAAATTCTACAAGTAATCAATTTGTTTGTTGCTTTATGTTCCACCCACCCTTAACAAAACAAAAAAAGTAGAATACACTAAAAATAATTTCACAATTTTCAGTTTTTTGACCATTCGATACAAAGCAAAAGTGATTATGTGTAGAACTCAGTGAGAATTATGAGACAGCCCTTACATAAATATAATGTACTAAAATACGACATGATAAACATAGGTGACCTGCAGAAAGATACAGATCAAGACATTTCATTAAATCAACCATTGGGGCTCCTTGAAAGTACACAGGGTGGGCTAAATGTCAGATATTTCACCGGAAAGATTTTCAGTTGTGAAAAGATGGCTTGTTTCTCAGTCTAGTCTATTGGTGTACTGATTTGTTGTTAATTGTTGGAGAAATAAACATTTACACCAGGAAATCTATCCCTTTGGAAAACTCTTTAGACCTTTGGCTCACCCTGTAATTAAGAGTTTAAATCATAAAATAGATTTACTCTAATGAAGAATAAATAGATAGTATTCAAAATTTACATCATAATTTTTTTACACATTTTTAAATTATGCCACAAGAGTACAATATTTATACTTTCTTATGAAGAAAAAGTGCAAACAGCACCCAAAGTTTTAACCATACACTTAATATTCAAATAAAGTAGCCAATATTTTCATGACAGTTTTTACTATTTTTTGTCAAAAGTGAAAATGGTGGAAATTAAAGGCAGCACATATTTAAGATTCAAATAAAAATATCCTTCTCAGTTATGCTATCAGACAATGATACATAAAACAATTATAAATAAATAAATAATTTGTGACTGGTCTGACTGACACAGATAAGGTAACATTGGTATTTGTAAGACAAAGGACGTAATGTGTATGTTTGTGTTTATGTGGATGCGTGTGTTGATGTTCACTCAAAGTGTAGTGTAGAACCAGTGCAATGTATGTATGCATTGTTTAGCATCACATACAAGGGGTCTTCACCAAAAGCTTTTTAAAGTTAACAGATTCTTAATCTATTGTTCTCATACTATGACAACCTAACTATGACATCATGATTTCTATAGTTACTATGTTCTCATACTATGACAACCTAACTATGACATCATGATTTCTATGGTTACACAATGAGAAAAGAAATCTTATAACTCTATCAATGCATCTGGTAATGTACCCCTCATCAATAAAATGTATAAGTACTTGAATATTGTACATATCTACTTCATATTACAATGTTTGAGCCTTTTCTAATATACGAGTATGTACATGTGCTTCTATATTTACAAAGTGACCAACTAAAAATCATTCACATTTGCAAAATATCCACTAAAAACCCTTACTTACATTCTTTTTGTCATTTGACTATATAATATGATGCCATTTCAGCTCTGAGTTCATCATTTTGTCTAGAATCATTCATCAATGGCACCAATTCATATTACTGGAACACATTGTTCTTATTGTAAACCAAGAAAAATTAATGTGAGTATATTTCACAATTTTGCTGATATTCAGAAATCTTAAGGATTTAATTTTTCTAGGTTTACTGTATGTCTAATGAGCAATAACAGCTCTATATTTATTATGAATTTTGTGGATGCTTCTCAGAATCTCATTATTTTCATCCAATGAGAAACATGTTCTTCAGAGAACACTTTAAAGGCAGCCAATTTGAAATTTGAGCAAAACAATTCAATTAACAATTCTTAGTTGACATAGTCTGATGAAATATCTCAAAAGAAAAACAAATAAATTTAGATCAATGTTAACAAAGTTATATTGCAAAGCCAGGAACAAGATTAAGTAGGAGACACATTTGACAAGGTCATAGACCTTAAATAGTACCAGAGCTATACAATAGTGAACTATTTAAGAAATAGCCTTATAGGGCTAGCCATATCCTTTTGCTTTCAATCAAAAAATTTTGATCATATTTCCTATATTTATTAATCATAATATAATTTTATTTTCACCTTATAGCAACAATTGATGATTTAGGTTTACCAACAAATGAAAAGCAACTTAAAATGTATGAGCTAATGTTAATATTAGCGTTAATAAATATAAATGTCTTTCAAATAGTAAGTAGCCATTTATCACTGGTTGTCCATGCTTGAACACATAATATCAATATATATGATTGGTCATTGTAATTTCAAATGAATAAAGTTAATTCAAATACTGATACTAGCCTTGATAAATGATATACAGAAAGGAACATATTATAATCAGGTTCCAAATAAACAATGGATAAAAGCTGATAACCCTGAGTCAATATTGTTCCTTTAAATGATTTCAACAATTACATGTACATGCATCTCTATAAACAGTTTTTTTTCAATTCATATATTTAGATCAAAAACTGTGATTTATACAAAATTAAAATTAATAAATATCCTAACTAAAAGTATGGCCTTTTCAGATAGAAAAATCATGATTCTGAAAAATATTAACGAACATGTGCATATCATGCATCAATAAATGACAGGATCGGCATCTGATTGGAAAGAATTCTTCTTTCTATTCAAATTCCTCCATTTTGGATATAATGCATGTTGATTTCCTCTGTTTTTATTTCCTTTGACTATTCCTATTTGTAACATCCAGCCTCATTTTGGATATAAAAACAGACTAAGATTCCACCATTTACTCACAACCAGCCTCATTTTGACTATAAAGCAGACGGCTCACCTCTATATGTTTATTCCAACTAAAAGCATTGAATTACTATGATTATTTGACTAAATATAGATTATGTTGATCAATTTCTATTTCTTTTCCTTATCCTTCTTCTTCTTTTTACTTGAACCTCTTTTAGGTGGTAAATCTGTTCTTTGTTTATCAAGGCGATTGCCCTGTAGTCTAGTTATGAGGCTAAAAAAGTCTTCATCGGGGACTGTGGGTGCAGATTGAGTTGGGAGCGCACTACGCTGCTCTTCGATTCTCGAACCCTGCAAGATGAAAATAAAAATATATGACTTTTTATTTAAGGCTTTTTATTCAGAAAAGGCAATGAGTGCTTCAGTCCTCAACATGATTGGAATGTATTTTTGGTGAAAGGGGATAACAACTGGTTCAATTCTCAACAAAACCAACCCCATGTATTGAGGGAGTTTAGGCAAAGAGGAGATTTACCTGCTGCTAAGGTTGCTATCAGATAAAAAGGTTGAACATTTTTTAATTCTGCTTCTAGGTTTAAAATATTTTGTCTCCCTTCTGAACAATGGAATACAAATCTTGAAAGCAAGGAAAACTTCAAACAAAAAAACGAAACAATGACATGATTTCGACTTGTTATAGATGCAGTAGGATTAGTAAACATTTTAGAGTTTAACCTTATACATGATAAAACAAGAGAATTCACTTAGCTCCAGTGAATATTAATTAATACATAAAGAAAATACATGTATCTTAGTATTCAAAGTGCTTCTAGTGGAGCAAACAGAATTCCAAGAGCCAGCTACCAGATCCTGAGAAAATCCCACAGGAATTTGGTTGACCAGTCAATGTCCTTAGCTTTTAGGCCTAATATATTAAGATTTCTTGAAATAACAGGATATTGTTAACACGAAGAACTTAAATCAAATGGCTTAATTGTAACTTAATTTCAACTGTACAGAATTAATAATAATAAAAACACCTAAAATATAAACACTACAAACCTGACATCTCATTAACATTTCAAAGAATGCATCATCTGGAGCTTCACCCTTATTGGTTAATAACTGACCAATCACATCCTTGCTATTGTGCAATCCGGGTAGATTTTCTAGCGTTGTTCTCTGTTCATTCATACGTGACCCTTGGATTCCTGCGACCATATCTAGGAAATCATGGTCACCTTGGGATAATGCTGGAAGACAAAAATACTAATGAATTATACTTGAGAAGACTAGGCATATTTGCTCTTTTTTGAAAATATTAGGATTTACACCCCTTCCATAAGTCTGACAAATAGACATTGGATTTTAAAGCCTGTTTATATCTGAAACTTTATTTTGTTGCTTAAACCACAATAGGCCAGAAATTTGTTTAGGGGACCTAAACTTAGAGGGGGAGTGTATCATTCATGAAATTGATTTGCTTTTTATAATATACATGTTTTGACTTATGCACATTAGCTACATCTTTTTTTTTTTTTTTTTTTTTTATTAAAAATATTTATTCTCTAAAATTAAAATCAAAAACATAATAACACTAGACACTTTTAATAAGTGTATCAGCGTGAAAACATTTAAATATTAACCTGAGTCAAATGGAAATGAGAAAAAAGAACAATTTAAAAATATTTACTCAGTTAAATGAGAATAAAATTGATAACAATATATAAAATCTACATATATGTTTGTCAGTAATTCAGTTCAGAATAGGTTGATGTCATATGAATTTTAAAATTCTTTTTAAAACAGTTAATGGAAGGTAATGTTTTCAAAGAAGTTGGCAGATTATTCCAAAGCTGAGCACCTGAATATTTTATTGAGTTTTGACTTATAATTGTTCTAAATTTTTTCATGTGAAGGCAATTTTGGAATCTTGTCTCATGTTCATGAAATATCAAATTTGGAGTAAAATAATTTTCAAATATGTCAAAAGGAAAGCCATCGGGTTTTGTTGTGTATTGATAAATAAATTTTGCAACTTCAAGCTTATGTATGTCAAAAATATCTAGAAAATTGAGTTGTTTAAAAAGAGGTGGGCTATGTGCTAAAAAGTCAGAATTTGTGATTATTCTCACTGCACGTTTTTGTAACAAAAGCAATTTATTCAAAAAGGTTTTACATGCATTACCCCATATGATGTTGCAATAGTTCAATTGTGATAATATAAGTGAATTATAAATGGTAATCATGGTTTTTGTATTCAATTTATATTTAATCTTTCCCAGAATACCAATAATTTTAGATATTTTATGTATAACCTTATTTATGTGCTCATTCCATTTTAATTTACAATCAATTGTTACTCCCAGAAAATTTGTATGCATTACTCTTTCAAGAATATTACCCCCTATTTTTATATTAAAATCTTGATTTTCATCAATATTTAACTTTGATCTTGTAAATAGCATATAATTTGTCTTGTCTATATTCAAAGAAAGTTTATTTGATTTGAACCATTCTAATGTCTTTTCCATTTCTAGATTTACATTTCTATATAGATCATGAAGGTCTTTGTTTGAACATAAGATATTTGTATCATCTGCGAAAATAGTAAATTTAAGCATATTTGAAACCCTATATAAATCATTAATATAGAGAATGAATAAGATGGGGCCTAAAACAGACCCTTGAGGTACACCACAAGTGATAATATTTTCTTCAGATAGAGTGTTGTTAAAAGAAGTAATGATTTTCCTATCAGATAAATAGCTTTCAAACCAATTTTTTGCGACATTGCGAATTCCAAAATTTTCAAGTTTTTTTAGAAGAATTTCATGATTTACTGTATCGAAGGCTTTCGATAAATCTAAAAATATTCCAATAGCATGAGTTGAGCTTTTATCTAGAGATATCCTCACTTCTTCATGAGAATTGAAATAGAGAAGTTATTTTCTAGTACATTTTTGATAAATGAATACATTCAGACTCAATATGAAAAACATTGAGGAAATTCTCCATTCATTTACATAGTCAACTTCATTTGCAACTACCCATGTTTCCTTTGGGGCTGTGTTTTAAACTCAAAGCTTATTCGCCAAGCCCCAGTCACATTATCTAAAATGAATTTTTTACTCAGTGCGATATAATGCAAAACAAAATGCCCAGTGTATAGCCTAACTGCTTTTATCTGTTTTATATTTTGAGGGTTGCAAGTCATTTCACAAAAATAGTTTCTTTTAACTAAGGCCTCAAAACATCTGACTTAACCTATTTTCTTGAGTTACCTTTGTTAGATGGATCAGGTGGGAAACCATCCTCATCACCTGGGATAGGTCCATCAAATGCACATCTCTGTTCGTCCATCCTTCGTCCTTGAAATTTGCTCAAGAGGTCAAAGAAATTGTCATCATCTGTCATTTCAGGTGAAATTTTCTAAAATTAATTAAACATTTTCATTTCGCATTATTGGTTGCTCCGAATTGAGTTTAATGAGACATCTAATTTCTTAATCCCTGTTCTATTTCAGTTTGTGTTCTGATGCACCTCTTTTTATTTCATTTTTTCATTTTGTCAAGCAGAAATAATAAAATTGAAAAATGTTCAACTGGTTTTAAATTCCATCTACAGTAAATGAATTTTACAGTTAATATGGAAAATTCAAATTCAAAGAGTTCAATCTTAATTCAAACAAAGGAAAGAGATTAACCATGAAAGTTTGCAAACATTAAACAGTGCAGTATTATGTGCTTAAAAGAGATTTAAAAATCTATTCAACTGAATTCAATATTTTGCCAATTGAGATTATTTTCATAAAACATTACAGTGACTTATGTAATAATGCTTTTAATCATTTAAACCAAATATTTTGCATATCAGTTTAACGCAATCTGAATAGGTCCTTAATTTGGCAAAATATTTGGAAGATTATCCATATTGAATTTATGCAATAATCTCTTGTTTATGTAAGAGGATATTTTGATCAAATAACAAAGATTGCACATACTAAATATTGTTGGAGATATTTTGGGCATTTAAATAGATGTACTGTAGTTTCTTGAGATAATTATTTTAAGCTTACTCTTGGTGCTTTACTCTCCCTAGCAAGAGATGCTGTACTTGGCCGAGTTGGTTGCTTTGCTGTGTTAGTTTTCATTCGCTCATCTAAATTACTTGCAATTGTAGCTGCTTTCTGCACCTTTGGTCGGGCTCCTCCCTGAGCTAGCTCCTTGGCCTGCAGTACATAAAATACACTTCACAAAATAATGTCATTTAATTTTTTCAGGAAATAATTGCAAAAGCTTTTCATAACAAAAACAAAAAAACAGAAGCAGCATTTTGATTGGAAAACAAAAATTATCATCTAAATCATATAATATCATATTACATAAATGTATCATATCTGAATCATATCATAATCTGAATGAGTTGTAACAAACCACACACCCTAATACTTTGGGACCTCTTTAATAATATATCATATATGCCCTTATATACATTCTCCCAATGGACTCCCACTCTTTCTGTGTGTCAAGGGAACAAAGGTACAAAAATATTAATATTACAACACTGACCTTATCAGGGGTCCTAATAGGAACAAGTTCAAGGTTTTCCATGCTGCGTCGCCTTGATTTATTCTCCTTCTCTTCTCCATCCATTGGAATACTAAACACAAAGCAGAATATGACAATTGGAATACTAAAGACAAAGCAGAATATAATCATTGAAATACTTAACACAAAGCAGAATATGACCATTGAAATACTAAACACAAAGCAGAATATGACCACGTGAATACTAAACACAAAGCAGAATATAATCATTGAAATACTAAACACAAAGCAGAACATGATAATTGGAATACTAAACACAAAGCAGAATATGACAAATGGAATACTAAACATAGAGCAGAATATAATCAGTGAAATACTAATCACAAAGCAGAATATGATCATTGGAATACTAAACACAAAGAAGAATATGACCATCAGAATACTATACACAAAGCAGAATATGATCATTGGAATACTAAACACAAAGCAGAATATAATCATTGAAAAACTAAACATAGAGCAGAATATAATCAGTGAAATACTAATCATAAAGCAGAATATGATCATTGGAATACTAAACACAAAGCAGAATATGACCATTGAAATACTAAACACAAAGCAGAATATGACCACGTGAATACTAAACACAAAGCAGAATATAATCATTGAAATACTAAACACAAAGCAGAACATGATAATTGGAATACTAAACACAAAGCAGAATACAATCATTGAAATACTAAACACAAAGCAGAACATGGTAATTGGAATACTAAACACAAAGCAGAATACAATCATTGAAATACTAAACACAAAGCAGAACATGATAATTGGAATACTAAACACAAAGCAGAATACAATCATTGAAATGCTGAACATAGAGCAGAATATAATCAGTGAAATACTAAACCCAAAGCAGAATATGACCATTGGAATACTAAACACAAAGTAGCATATGACCATTAGAATACTAAGCTCAAAGTAGAATATAATCATTGAAATACTAAACACAAGGCAGAATATAATCATTGAAATACTAAACACAAAGCAGAATATGACCATTGGAATACTAAACACAAAGCAGAATATATATATATATTTCTTATCATCATTCAAAATCAATCATCACTCTAAGAGTAAATATTACTTTTAGTGATATACAATTCTAAACATTATTAATTACTTGCTGTGCATCAATGCGATATATTCAAATTATTGACAATAATTTCATTTATGGCAATGTGAGAGTCGGTTAAGGTTTAGGTATGAACAAGCCCTGAGAAGACCATTCCCCGGTTATCCCAGGTAAATGTTTCTGGTAAGTTACACTGAACGAAACATCAAGCTTCAGATCTCGAGAGAACGAGATGAGACTTCAGACGAGATATCTATAGGATTGTAGTTGTAGGGTTTCTCCCTAGGTGCGTACAAAATCCATTAACATCAATGTAAGTTATACATTTCGATTCTTTTCCCTCACCTCCTTCCCCAGCTTACACCACCAGTTGGAGATTTATTTTCACCCAAGAAGATGAGTTGGAGATGGTATTATAATATATCCAATTGAGCTAATTAACAGTTATGTCTAATTGTAAACTCTTGTAGCTAATTAACTTAAATTAGCCATTATTTTCCAAGGTATTGTGTTTTGTGTTAATTGGCTCAATATTTATTTATATTAATTTTATATTAATAATTTTACATGTACGACTCTCACGGCCATAACTATACTCTAAATGAAAAAAATGTAATAAATATGCCTAATATGTTATATTAAATTATTTTCCCAGATTCTTGAGACGTTCAAAAAATCACCATATTAATGTTATCATATTTCTTGTCCAATATCTGATAAATATTTGATTGAACACAACGTCACGCAAACATGATTTTTTGCATGTAGTAAAAATCAGGCTACAGAGATCTCTAATTACCCTGATTGACATCACTTACTCAGAGTGTAAACAGTCTTTAAAGTGATGGAATTAATTAATCATCAATATCTTCCCGAAGGAGGTCAAGATGACTGGAATATATTACAGTAGGTCCTTCATTAAACAAAGCTGGATGATTAGAGCGTATGGCTTTACTGCACGTACGCTATAAGCTGATTAGTTACTGAGCTATTCACTCTTGCTGAAGACCTGCTCATACTTAAGACTCAGTCAAATTATCCAACCATGCAATTTAACAAGTGTATTTCCTTATCATGGGAATGTTAATAATCTTTTCGATAAACATTAAATCATAAATTAAATTAATTATAAATAAACGCATTATCTAATTGATGATTATTTACCTGCTAAAACTGGCATCTGAGATATTGGCACTTGAGTTTATACCTAATACTGTCTTTAGGTCAGCAAGGTTCATCTGGGCCGTAGCCTGGCCAGTGGCATCTCCGATCTATAAACAAAACATTTTCTTATAGGGTCTATTCCATTTTAAAAATGATGGAGTGGCCGTCCTGAACATATAAAGTATTGGGATGGGAGGAAGTTTATAAGGAAACAATGCATTATCATTACAAGAAAATGTCATCACCTGGTAACTTACTTCAAATGGTTATTGGTTTATCAGTTTTAATCAGTTGATTTTCAATACAAAGTGTGCAAACTGCAACCAGGCTCCCAGTGACTCTGGCTCTTACGTGGACCCTTTTTAATATGGTTTTGTTTTTGTGTTTTAAGACCTTAGAACTTTCCAATTTATACAATCAATTAGGCAAAAGGGATTGCAATTTTATTGCCTAATTTTATACACCCACATAACCTTTGCTAAAAGCCTTTAGCTTTGTCAATTTTATCTTTCCCACTAGGGCCATTAATAACATGAACATGTACATTACAGCCTTGTACAAGAACTCAACTATACCTACTTTTTTAAATTAGAGATATTTCTTTCACCAAACATACATTCGACCAACTGCAACTCCAAGGAGTAGCAAACCCCAACAATCAAAATATTCATGAACATGTATTTGTCACAAGATAAAATCTACTATTTACTCTACCCTAATTTCCATCTAATAAAAACAGACATTAAAGATATCATTGATTGGATGTAAGTAGTGGGGGATGCAAGTAGTCTTGTTAATGCAAGACTACAATGTAACATTCAAATTTCCAAATAAGCACATAAAATCTACATTGGAGATTTTTAGGATCTTGCCAGAATCTGCAAAATTATGTCAATGGGATTCAGTGTAAACAAGATAATTACCTCTTTAGAGATCTCAAGATGTTTGTTGGCATACTGTAAGGCCTTCTCGTGGTTTCCTAGCGCAGTTTGAGCATTTCCAAGGCTCCAGCATGCCCTCCCCTCCCCTACACGGTCCCGGAGATCCTGGGCAATACGGAGATGCCGTAAATGATACTCTATTGCCTAAAATGGAAAGATGAAATGATTTACAGGGAAAGTAAAATCTATTATATTTTAACCTTTTATCTATAATTGTTTAAAGAGAGAATCAGATCTAGCAGGAAGGCAAACAAAAAATTGTTTCAATTTTAGAATTTTTCCGGCTCATGTCATTTATTGTCATGTCTATTTTCTAAAAATCCCCAAAGTGCACACTTTATTTCAGGAAAACTAAAGATTTTTACAATAATGTATTTTTCTTTTATAAGAATGGTTACCATTCTTATTATTTGGGAGAATTTAAACATTTTTCCCCCATTTTTGCGCTTTGAATCCATAAACCAATTTTTACAATATCGTGAATCTTTTTGGAGATATTGCATTTGAGATTGTAAGGAATAGATTGGTAGGCCAATTGTATATATTGCTTGTAACTTTGTCACCCCTATGGATCTGATTTTGCCTTATTCAAAGTGCAATATATTTTACCTTTGGGTAGTCTCTCAGGAGAGTGTATGTGTTGCCAAGGCTGTAACATGCTTGGGCTTCTAAAGCACGGTCACCAAGCTGTATCGCAATTTGGAGAGTTTTCCTAGAGAAATATACAGAATAGAGTAATTGATGTGCATGTAGCCAGGAAGTAGGTTGGAAGACATTGAAAAGTTAAATTATATTCATGAATTTGACACCATTTAAATTCAAAAATTAATATTTCCTAGAAATGTGTTCAAGTAAAAACATTTTTCATAATATGTTGTGCCATATCAAAAGCTATGGAAAAATGTCTTACAAATGATATTGGCATGTACATATATATGTATATATATATAATCTTACTTGTAATGTTCAGCTGCAATTTCAAACTCTCCCAAGAATATGTGGGCATTAGCAAGATTACTGTAGGCCCTTCGTTCTGCTGATTTATCTCCAAATTCCTTTGCAATGGACAACCTCTGTAAGACATACATAGCAGATATATTTCAATTTCAATTTCTGAATGAGTTATTTAACAGAGAAGACTGTTTTATGTAAGCTTTTATATTGGGCCTACAAAATGACACCTCAATTAAGTTATTCAGATGGTTACGAAAGTATGATCATGTTACATGGCAGATTTTAATACTAGAATAACACATTTTTAGTCAGATCAGAATTTAATGCCAATAATACTTTAATTGAAGACAAGGGTCATTTGATACCTTGCTTAAGAAAAATAGAGACTCACCTCTTCATGACAAATTCGTGCCTGGTTGAAGTTACCAATGAGATAGTGTGTGTTGCCAAGGTTACCACATGCCCTCCCTTGAGCTGCCCTATCCCCAAGGCTACGTACTATGGCTAGGTTCTCTCTGCAAAACATGGAATGTAAAAATATACAGGGTTCTTTTGATAAATCAAGATTCGTATAAGGGGGACTAAATTCTATGGGAAGGATCTCTCTGCAAAACAACTTCTGGTCAACATGATGACCACAAAGCATTTAAAATGCAAGTATGCATTTTCAGCATTTCTGAAATCAAGAATGAATATAAGGTACTTTTGAGCAGCCATTAGTTCTCTATACTGTAATGTTTTATAGAAATAAGAGCTTCCGTTATAATTCTTCATAATTATTATGTAAGACTGTTTTGGCGCTGGCATGTATCTAGCATCAGTCGAGAGAAGATAGAAAAGTCTGAGCTATATTAGGCACTTGAATCTTTATATAACATAATACAAGCCATACTTCTAGATATAATCTTAGTAATTCTCAGTAATTCTGATTATATGTAATTTCGTAATGGCGATAAGAACAAATGCTATCTTCACATGTCTCAAGTGAACTTCTGACAAACTGTTCAAATTTCTTTCAAGGGGCAGTAACATCTAGTTACTTTAATGGTTGAAGATCTTTGTAATGAAAGTGTAATCAACCAAAATATTTGTATGGTTTGGTTTAACTGGGGTAAATTCATTTGCAAGTAGGTACAAGGTAATTTCAAACAAAAATTCAAAATCTTGTAACTGGACTTGGTGCAAATACGTTTTCAAGTACATAGGTACAAAGTAAAATCCAAGTCCAAATTAAATACCTATTCTTAATTGGGCAAATTTAATTTGACATAAAGCTTTCATCCTGCAGCTGCGAGTGGATCCATTTACATTTATATAAATATGCAAAATGATATCTTGATTTAAATATATTAGATGTGTGTAATCTGAGCCATATAGAGAAGTACAATGACTCCAGGATAAGCATAAATATAGTAATTTATAATAATAACTATAAAATGATCAATTTATCTGAAGTACCGTATTCTCTGTAATTACCGCCCACTCTCTAATAAGCGCCCACCCGCTTCACAAAGTTCAAGAAACATCGAGGAATCAACAAGAATTGAAGAATATATCAGGAAAAAAATATTTCTCAAAATCCAGGAGCGGGCGATAATAGAGTACTTACCCTAAAACTGCTGTAAACACGACGCGTTTTGTAATTCTATGCATCCTCTCGATACATATCTATCGATGGGTGCTTCCCACACCATACCATGCTAATATTGTCTCCAAATAGTCCATAATGAATGAAGGAATTGTTCTTTATCGGCATTCAGAAATTTCAAAAGCTACTGCGCAGATGTTCTGCGCATGTCAAGGTCGTGAACTTTCTGGTTTCTTTTTAATGTTTCTCGACTTTTACACGACTTTTGCACGAATAATGATGATCTCTCATCAAATTAGAAATAATGTATAACTTTAGATCGATATCCAGCAGTCTCTAGTGGAAATATTGAAGGTAATCGGCGATAATGACAAAGTGGGCGTGCCGGAAATAAATTAGACATAGACGGGTCTTCAACCACTGTCAATATTGTCTAAGCGATCTTTACCGTATTCTCTCCAATAACAGCACTTGTCATATTATTATAAAAATATGTTGAAGAAAATGCATTCTTGTCAAGAAAAATTGCCATACATGAAATTCCTCGGGATTTCTGATTTCTTTCATACATGGGCGCTTATTAGAATGGTCTAAATAATGTATTTTCAATTTTCTAAACGCCCTGGGCGCTAATTACAGAGAATACGGTATATGTCTGGAAAGTAGGTGGATTAAAGATAAGTATAGAGTTCTATTTTATGAAAATTAAATAAGTGGGAAAAATGAAATTTATTATTAACATTTAGAGTGTAATATCACACATCGAGGCTGTTTAATAACTATTTAACAGTTAATGATGATTAAAAAAGAAGTAAGGTAGGTTAGATAATAAAAATAATCTAAACATCTAGAGCAAAACCTACAATGTTTTCTCCTTGAAAGAAATGCAATATCTAATTCTTTAAAATAAACTAAATCCTGAGATCTATTAGAAACCTGCTATTTCAAGCTTTGATACAAGGTGAGCCAAAATAATGTAACCCAAACAAATGTGAATAACTCAGTCATCCAGTATGAGTTTAAAATCATATTTGGCACAATTGAATCTTGTTCAATGTTTTTTTCATTCTATCAAGTTTCTTTGGTCTATCTCAATGGCCACGATTTTATGGTTATTTTACAAAAATCCTCAAAATGCCGGTCTCATCTCTGGAGGCTAATTAAATAACACCAGGTGACTAGATGCTCACAGATATCATGTGTAATGGCTCTAATCATCCTTCTTATCTATGTTTCAATACTCTGATGCTACCTCAAGGGAGCAGCCATGATTTATAAAGGGGTTCAATTTTTCCCCTGCCTGGGGGTTCTGTTTTTAACGAGAGGGGGGTTCAAGGCGAAGAGAGAGGATGGGCAGGTTTGCAAGACAGAAACAGTTTCAACAAACCACTCAAATCACAGAATACAATATGCACCCTCATCAAATAGCTAGTGTAGAAAATAGTCATCTTTCTGAGAGTGGGGTTCTTTTCTGGCCTTCGGTTTGTTGATCTTTCACAAAATTACCGGCCGGGTGTTTGTTTTGTATTTAGAATGGGGAGTTCACATGGAGTCCACAAACCTCCTCTCACTATGCCCATGCATCTAGAATGCGGACAATATCTTTGAAATGGACCCAAAAATAAAAGTTTGGAGATTCACATTGGGTGATTTTCTGCATTTGGAGCATTGAACAATGTTTTATTGTGCAAAATTTGAGTTCAAATCCATGCTGGAAGACGGAGTTATTAACATTTGTTTGGGTTACATTTTTTTGGCTCACCCTGTAAAACATATCACAGAATACTTTATGATACATTTCATAATTTATTAAGATCCCTTGCTATTCAGTGTTTGCCATTAGTAATGGACCAAGTCTTTTATGTGAATAGTTTACCAATACACCTTTTTTATGACTTTCTAACAAATATACATATAAACTGACATGTCACATTTATAATATAACAAGCTTGTTTATGTTACACATATATTATATACAACATTTATTTTCAGCGATACCAAAATTGAAAAAACAATGAAAATCAAAGTTCATCATAAATCACTGCTGATTACGACAATATAACCGAGAATTGGGAGTTAAGAGCTCATAAATATCTGCTTGAAGCCATGTTGAAAATCTCATCTGTCCCAGGGTGATCATGAACAATACTTTTATAGCAAAATGTGATAGCAGCTTGTCTAGATAAAACTGGCTTCTGCGCTGTAAACTTCTATGAATGATGGCAATGAACAACATTGTGAACCTATAAAATACCATGACAAGAGACAGTGCCATGATAATAAAAAAACAACACCATGACAATAGACAAAATCATGATTGTATATTTGACACCATGACAATAGACAACACCACAACAATAGACAACATCATGATTATACATGACACCATCACAATAGGCGACACCTTGGAAAAAGACAGCACCAGTAGAATAGACAACACCCTGGTAATAGACAATATCATTACAACAGGAAACATCATGATAATAGCATTACACCATGACCATAGACAACACCCTGACAACACCCTGACAATAGACAGCATCATCATAGACAACTTCAATACCATGACAACAGACACCACCACGAGGACATCATCAAACGATGTATAATAAAGCTTTGGAGTGTTCTATTTTAAAGGTTTTACTGTAATCCATATATGAATCTTAAGACTGAATGACACAATAACAGTTATGATTTAATGATTCCATTCTCAGTAACTAAGAAATGTCTATAAATGCTAAGTATGATGATTTTCCAAATATGATGATTTTCAAGTTCTCAACAGGATGGTATTTGAGATTCAAAATTAGCTGCAATTCAATTCTCAACTGATGCAGTAATACTAGAGATGCTTCAAGGTTGAGGAGCTCAGTGTAATCCTACTCTAAATTGAAGAAATGATTTATCTGATTATTTGCTGTTTGTGAGGTATTAACAAGTCACAGTGAGTAAGCCACATTGACAAATACATAGCTGTAAATTATGAGATCCAACTTGTATAGTGAGCCAATGTATTTAGTCTGAGTTGCCAATATAGATTGGAGGTAGTGAAAGAAAATGACACCATTCGATGGGCTAAAATGGTTAATGTAGCACTTTTTGAAATTGCGATAAAAATTAGTTCATTAGTTCAGAAAAATGATAATTTTTCAAAATTTATGACAGACAGATGGACTGGCGAGTGGGTGATTCACTATGTGAGTCAATAAATAAAAATAAAATTCAACAATTTGTAATGTCCTCCCAAATATTCCTTGCAAAATGCCTAGAATTTTGAACTGCCAAATCATAATAAAACAATGACCTAACTTAGTTTATTTCATGAGACTACCAAATTCTATGATTCTGTAAATTTCCAAGTGACTATTAATAGCTTTTCTACAAAGTCCTTAAAAAATAATTCTTATATTTTCAAATGGATATGGATTGTTGTTTCTATGCTGAATACAGCAGTATCTGATATATATCAATTAAATATAATTAAAATCTACTCACTCATAATATTCAACAGCTTTCAGTAAAAGATCACTGACTTCAGCAGGGAACTTCCCAGGATCTTGGTTGCCATTTCTTCCTAAATGTTTGCCTTTAGCGTGGTAAACATTTCCTAAGTTATAGAGTGCTCGGGCTTCCTCTACCTAGAACATACAAGAAATAATACTATGTAGTAGAATAAAAGGGCAATATTATTGTACATACAATTACACAATTAGACATTACCATGACAAAATTTTACTGCCTGTCAAGTAATTGCAAAGGTTTAACAATTTCTTAAATATGCGGATGTCAAATGCCAATGCTATAGCTTGTCAATACTAAATAAAAGATGGTGGCTATAACATTGAATCCATAAAATAAATATGAGCATTACTTCGGATAAATTACAATTTTCATCTGTCTGAATATTGTTGACGAGAACAGACAGACAAATGGGTATCATCAAATAAGCAAACTTATAACCAGATCAATCTCTTTCCTTTTGCATAAGTTTATGAAATGTATGTACATAGCTATAATGGCAGTTTTCATCTGTCTGAATATTGTTGGCAAATATAAATGTAATTTCTCTAGATGTATATATTTATTATATCATTGGAATGTTTCTCGCTTTCTCATTGGATAAGAATCGATCACATGATTGAAAATATGAGGGTATATTGCCCTGTCTCCTGTAGTCTCTAGCTGCAGCTAGCTCAGGCTATATTGACGTCAGACATCAGGCATATATTCAATGATAGGGACATAATGGCTAAATAATATTGATATCTGTGTTGCACTTTTACAATGTATATTTATCTGTGGTGACATCAAATAAATAAGATTAGGGAAAATGTCAGATCTGATAATTCACTTGAACTACATGCTGGGATCTATCACTGTCTGCTGGTGTATTCTCAAACAAATCAATTGAAAGTATACAATTACAAATATTTTATAGAATAGTACATCTCCTTAGCGTAAAGCATTTATCTGACAAATCTATTAAGCACAATTAATTGAATTGTATATGTATTTGATTTTGTTATATTGTTATATATTACTAAAATAGTGTTTTGAGTAATTAAGTAAAGAGTTCTGATTTCCACATAGATCCAAATCATAAATAATTAGTTCATGCGCCTACATGAGATATTCAACCTGAAGTAATAAGTATCAGAGCCGTGGTGAAAACTGATCATTCTTTTAGTATCTTTCGAACCTGACTTATCTCCCTGGTACATAAACTTGATTTATTGGTCTATAAAATTCGCCTCTTCCCTGGGACTTTGTGACCTAAAGTAAATTGGATGTCTAAAAAAACGGAGTTTGGTTATAGCACCTGACATCAGAAACATACATTGGCGTCGAAATTGGAATTGATCCCGAGGTATAGATGTTATTTTGACCTGTCAGTGTGATATTTCAAAGATTAAACCTTTTAGTTGAAGCATTATACTGCCAAGTCTGATACAGAAGTGAAAATGAACCAAATTGGTTATATTATGTATGATTACAAATAAATTCTCTAGTTTGAAGCCTCTGAATGGGAAGACCACCCAATATGAACACATCTAAACACCTTTTATTTTCTATTTTTCCATTCAATATCATGTTAAATTTTTATATAAACACCTGCCAATTCCTATTACCATATGATTCAACAAATCTTTCAAAAAACCTTCATCAAATATAACTGCTTCATTTTTTCCTATTGTTTCCTGAGATCATTCTAGGATTCTAACTGGCCTTGATTTACAGTATATGAAAACTTTTTGTGGATAATTGAAAAACTAAAGTAAAAAGAGACATACAAAGCATATATAACACTCCTGGTATATTCAGATTCACGAAAGCATCTTTTAGTGATGCTGACTGGAGAGTTGCATTATCTCTTGAAGAAAGTAACTCTTGTACTTAGGAATCTACTAAACCGGAATGAGACAAGGTTATGTGACATGACAAAATGTTACAACCTGATAGTAAAAACATACATATAACCATTTGTCACAGATGCCAATGCTGACGATGGCTATCACTATGTCACACCTTACAATAGTCAATAAAATGTCACAACTAACAATATGTCACTTCTTTTTGGTGGTGGTAACATGAAATCTGGCCTGTGTATAACCCAATAAATAAATAAATAAATAAATAAAAGATTGAACCATCAGCCAATAGAAACCTATTTTGTGAAGTTGATGATCAGTCAATAGCAGCCATTTCACGAAGTTATACCTTAAGATCTGGTTTATGTCTTTTCGTCATCCTCAATATTTTATCTCTAGTCTATTGAAAGTCCCTGCTAAAAAAGAACATGGAAGAATCTGTGTTCATTCAATGATGTGCGTCATCAGAATGATTGTGTGCAATCAGGCATGAATATTATTCTATAGCTGCCTTTAACTGCCTTCCTTATCTATAAAGCAAGCCCTACAAATACAAGGTCTGGTTTGAATAATAATTGATAAGCTTCAGAAATCACAAAAAGATAAATCAAGTGATACAAAACAGATTTACGCTTTTATTTACAGTAATTGAATAAATGGTTCAATGAAATCTATAATGGCAGTAAAAAAGAACAATTTGTTTGTTGGATGTTGCATTTACATATAAGTTGTCTTTGTCTAGAGATGGAATATTGGTAGGTTATTTAGTCCCATTTTGTAGAAATAAAGACACATTTTTCATGACCATTGTCTCCTGGGGGAAAAGTCAAGTCTCTTGGAAATTAAAATATTATAGCATAAGATGAAAAAACTAATTTTCTCCAAAACATAAAAGAACTGAGGTTTTACTACGATATGGCAGTTTCTAAATTCCAGACAATATGTCAGTCACTTTCACAAGCAAGCAATAAGTATCATACAAAACTCAATCAAAAAGGATTGGAACCCAGATCCAAGACAACTGAATCTGCCAATGTCTCCTCCAAATCCATGGATTAACTGAGTTTTGTATTATAGATTATTATTATTGTTGAGCGGACCAATCTGACACAGAGCTACAGATAAAGGAAATGAAAAATAATTAAATTAAATAAAAATATGCTTGCAGAGTAAAATAATGTTCCAAACAATATGGGTCTTCATCATTCCTCAAACAACTTTTCTTTGAACATACTCTTTTGACTTCTGTATCCAAAAAACACTCGGTAGAGCAGACCTGAAGGTTTTATAATGTACCTGCTCACATATTCCTCAAAACAACAAGTGGTTTGGGGAGAAAAAATGGTGAAAATTGCCTGTTGCATGCTACTAATGAAATCACCACATGTACAGGGTAACATTTTCAGATTTAATTTTCTGCCCATCTAAGATTATTCTACAAGGAAGTACTGTTAATTGAAACGGGTGGAATGAAGGTGGAACATCTTAAATCATACTTCAGGGGCAACAAATCAATATAACGCTGGAATGTTTATCGAAGAAAATCCCCAGGGACTTCTTCACGTCCAAAAACACAGTTAATTTGCTTTTGGCAATCTTTTAGACTAATTATCGGAAAAATTATCTGGTGGATCTACAAGAAATTGAACCTTTTAGAAGAAAATGTGATGATTACCAGGACTTTATTCAATATTGTCTGCAGAGGAAATTACATACTTTTGATTGAGATCAGGTATAAATTAAATAAAGATTCAATTCATTATGTATTCACCTTTCCATAAAGTCGGCTCATGAATATTATAACAAGAATTTGGCCTTGGAAATATTTTCTTCTTAATAAGCCCATCCGGGGTTATTTCACTAGACCTAATAATTAATTGTATTTACCAAGAAACCCGATTGTACATTTTACTGAAATGGCAACTTGAAAAATGTTCAAAGTGAAAGAAACTCAATTTAGTTACCATATAATATCTTTATGCTTTTGAAAATATTTTGCTTATGTGAACTGTAGGGTCGATGGGATCCTGAATAACAAATTATTGTATGTTTTGCGCGATGGCAGTTGTGGTGAGTTTGTGAAGGGATTTTATCCTATGACATAAAACCATAATAGTACCACGACCAGATAATTCAATCGAGTTGCTTGTATAACTTCACCATTTACCTTTTTTTTTGTTTACAATCGCATGGGATATTTGAGACCGAACAGAGAATTTTAAGTCTTAATAGACATTAGTTCTGTAAAGAAAATTGATTAAATCAAATTATTTAAGATTTGGGATGAAAGTGCCCCATCCATATTTCATATTTGATTAAAAATAATTACTGCATTGGGCAAATATAGTCGTTTTTATCAAGTTAAGTCAAAATATTCATATACTGGCTGTACTAATTCCCCAAAACTTTCTATCATTGACATCATCAATTTCAATCATTTGCATATAGCCAATCAACGCAGCGGAAATTGTTGATTTTCTTGACTTTGTGTAAAGGTGAATAACTTTCAGGAAAAAAGCAATGCCAATCATACTTTTTTGTTATAAATATCATTAATTAAAATCAAAATTGTGACATTTAATTATTGTCAATTTCTTACCATCTTGCTGCCCCTTCCATCATATGGGTTGACTCAGAAAAACCTCTCCTATCTTACAAAAGACGTAACAATGACGCACAAAAGGATGCTATTATTGTTGCTTATATCAGACTTATATGTTTTCACATCTCAACTTGTCTACATATTTTATCTTCCTGAACAAAGCCAATAGATTTCAGTGTTCAGCTACCAGGAATCCTGTTTGGCTAGCCACATTACATTTTGATTTCTACAGAAGGTTTTAAAATTTTGATGTCCTAAGATCTTAAATGAAGCTTGCTTGAACCTCTTTTGGAAGTTTGGACATGTATTAATTTCCAGTTGTGCAAAACCTCATCCAAGAAGCTTGGATATTATGAAATGAATGTTATGTAAAATGTCACCACCTGCTATTTACTACAAATGCTATATCGCCAACTGCCAAACACTGTTCACAAAAAAGTTGGAGATTATAATATGTCACCACTTATAAAAACTATCAAAGAATGTAGAAGTCAAAAGGATAACTGTCATCAATGTTCTTATAAACATGACAGAACTGACCTTTCTTGGCTTCTTTAATATGTCACTATATTCACTGATTTTATACCATAAAACACAAGGAACAAAGACAATATGTCAATGGATGCCTACAAATTAAACAAAGCTTCAATCAGTTATAGATTCAATA